TAAAGTACTGAGTATGTAAGGCAGGAAAGCATAAGTAAGAATAGTAATGTAAACAGGGATAGAGAATATACAACCTGTAACATCTGAGTACCTCCGAGGGCTACTGACATGAAATGCATGATACGTACATATAGATACATAAACTTTTAAAACATACGCCTCTATGGGCATCATTATCATCATATCGTACCCGGCCGTAATAGGCTCGGTAAAAACGTACCCAGCCATCATAAGGCTCGGTAGAATCGTACCCAGCCACGTAGAGCTTGGTAAAACCCAACTGATCAGTGGTTGCACAATAGGTGCCGTACCCGGCCGACTATAGCGCGGCTCGGTAGAGTAAAATAGATACATATATAGAATGTATGTTGGACTCATTAGAATCATATTCTGAACCTTTCGGAGTGAAGGTCGATATTCTCCGTACACGTTATTAGGACTAACTCTTCATCAAGAATCTTATAAGAATCAGGAAGTACTAACAACATTGATAACATAAGAATAAGAGAAGCAACCTCAACATCAATTGTTCTATACGAAGGGAAACAATGTAAGTACTGCTAGCTTCTATGAGTAAAGTATCTTTGAAAGCTCACTCATTACATTATGGACAATCAGAGTCGTGCAAAAGAAGGAAAGGGATAGCCTCACATACCTTGTATATACTGCCCAACCTCAAGCAATGCAAAAATATCATGTCTCCTTAGTGTACAATAAGAGAAATGACACTATCGTTATCGTTTAAGCGTCGAAACTATTATGTATCAACCGCAACCTATTTTGCGATGAAACGGATAGCACCTCCCCTATTTATATGACTTCCCACAAGTCAAAACAATCACCAAAAAGCCCAAACAACATCAATAATAATCATATTGAGCCTCCCAAAATAGTCCACCAACCAACAACATTACTACCAAGCCTTTCGATATATATTTCACAAGTTCTAGCTTCAATGACTTAGCCGCAACTTGGATAATCTTAAATACATGTAGAGTAAGAGGTTCCTTACCTTTAAAAAGAAAGAAAAACTCCAATTTGACCTTAATTGTCCACGAAATATCCCTCCAATGCTGCCACAAGAACAAGGAAGCGAAACAAGCAATCAATTAGGGTTTTTCGGCACTAGAATTACTTTAGAAGACTTAATATCACCTAGGGTTGGTATTAAAAACTTGAGGGAGTATTTGCAGAATATAAACCACTTAAAAAAGAATCCCACACGAGCTGGAACAACACAAAAATGAGCAACAACGAGAAGAACAAGAAACTACTAGCGCCACGGGATTCTCGACACTTGGTTTGTGTTGTTTGCCCTTTGTTTGGGTCTTGGATCATGAGAGAAACTTGAGAGAATGTAGGGTTCTAAAGTCTGAATACACTGAAAAATAATGACTTAAAACGGGTTTGAGGCATCTTATATATACCCATATGTCTTAAACCGCCTATGTGGGCCCCATAGAGAGCTGCTTGGCACAGTCTCGCGAAAAAGCAAATATCTCTCTACTCCGAGATCGTATCGACAAACGGTTTAATGCGTTGGAAACTAGACACATAGATCTTTAATTTGGTGGGTAGATCACCCCGTAATTCCAAGTAAATTGGGAGAAAAGCTTAGTAACATTTGACCTAAAGTTTAAGTAAAACTATGAACCTAAGTTGCGACAACTGTTGTCGACTTTTGTTTCATAACTCATTTGACTCAAGACTTATGATACGGATATTATATGATTCAAATACCTTAAAACACGACCTTTTGAGTATATTAAGCACCTCTAGCTTTACCCGAAAATACGGGTTACAAACATCCTTGATTCGTTTAACTTCTAATACTTGTTAACCACCCTTATACACCCTTGTATCATTTAAGACCAATAGGATTAACTTCTTATCATCTTAAAGATAATCTCTTCATGAATTTATCGACTACCTTACGGCATGAACTAAGGTACGTTAATATGGGTTGTAACAATTAAACTTAAAGTTAATATTCAGAATCTTGACCTTTGATCAGTTGTTCCAAAGCAATTACATCACTTTCCATTGTTGGGTTCCATTAGACCCTAACTCCAAAGAGACATAGATTACAGAAAACAAAAATGATGACAAAGGTTGTCTTCAGAAACTTCTTCTTTCATTCTTTCATCGATATTCCGCACAACTACATCGATCCTTGCAGGCCCTGGAGATCACCCTAACAACCAAACAATTTTCAAGGAAACCCACGTAACTATGTTAGAGGAGGAATAAAATAAGACAAAAGTAATGTCTACCGAGTGAAACGCAAAATAACTGATAACAAATTGAATAATCTATCTGATCAACTGTACTCTAACCATAGATATAATAGAGAGAGCAAAAAGATTGTGAAAATTAAAAAACCAAATCTATTTTTATAATCTCCACTTTCAGGAATCAGATTAAAACTCCAAAAATGAAGCAAAAGAATGCACATACTTTGGCAATGAAGCTAGCTGTTTAACCAAAAAATGGAATTTTGATTAAAGCTATAATTTAGAAGAACACGGGTTACTGATAATCGCAAGAATGTATAAAAGAAAGTAATTTGGATAGCCGAAATATAATTGAATAAAACAAGTAAACCAAAGTATATTCAGATGATTTTTCGTGTCCCTACAACTGTTCAGTCCTCTCCTTTTATAGCTATTTCGGATGTAAGTGTTGCTTTGGTCATAATAAGGTTATTATGGGCAATAAATGACATTGAATGCTACGTTACATAATCATTACATTTAAGATAGATTCTCTAACGTTTTCAGCATTTAATGCTTATCAAATACTGTATTTGGACCCTCGTATGCTGTCAGATTCATTCCCTTGACTCTTCTTGATTATTGAACTTAAATTTCTTGAATAGGTACGGGCGCTGAATCCTTTAAATAACCGCTCGTGCCTCTTCCTTTGCTTTTGCTCGCATCTATTACTACTCGTGCCTCTTGGCTAACTGTAACTCTTTGACTATTTGACCAGCCTACGTGTCATGACACGTCATCTTCACACTTTTTTAATATGTAAACTCAATTTTTCCCAATATACTAGCAAATGAGGAAGACAAAGGAAACTTGAAAAGAGACTCCATCCCCTTTGCAAACAATCTTCCATAGAAATAGTTGGTTCAATGCTATTAGAGGAAAGCGATAATTCCTCCTCCAAGTTCAGCAATGCTAGATTGATAGTGAAGGATTGTATATTTAAGGCTAGCTAGCAGATTAAAGCAGTATCAGTTACAAAAAGAAAATATTTACGGTGTAATTATTTAATAATTAATGGGAAAACTGTTGAAAAATGAGGCAAAGACTGGTATTTTAGCATGTCGCATTATTACATGTTATATTGAAGGCCATGAAACGCTTGGAAACAGTCGTGCTTGCATCTTTTGTTTTTAATGCCTTCTCATTTGATGTATTCAGACACTTGTTAAAATTTTAGAACAAAATAAATAGGAAAAAATTAAAAGAAAAAAACCAAGAAAATGAGATAATAGATAAATATCATTCCTGGGCAATGAGAGGTGAGCACCTCAGATGACACATCACCGTACTCATTTCCAGGATATTTCATATATATATATATATATATATATATATATATATACTAGTTTTTGGACACGTGCTTCACACGTGTATATTTAGCATCCATGCATCATTACTTGTCAGGAAAAAAATATTACCTAAACTACATATGTATTCCAAAATGTTGAGTTTAAAACAAATTTTGTATATCTTTTAATATCTTTAACTTCATAACTTTCTTGAGTGATGCACATGACTGGAAGTAATAGTAATCACCTTTAATTTATTTGTAAACACTATATAAAGGAAAAGGAAAGGAAGATGATTAAGTTCTCTGCTAGGAAGCTTCTCAAACTTTTCGCTTGAACTTTGCATAAGCATTTTAGTAACAATTTCAAGTATTTTTATTTTCTTTAGAGACCAGTATGTATCGATCGGTATAAAAATATCAACACTAGATATTTTCTTTGGGTAATTAAAAGCTTTATTAATCACCAAGTAACCATATACAAATCTCAGCTCAGCTAGCCGATCTCAAAGGAAGAAAACTACACTTGAACCAAAAGAAGGTGGTGATAGTTGAAACCATTCTGGTTCCAATATAAATCGGGTTACATTATTTCCAACTCTCAATTTCTTTTACTTCATACAAATCTTTGTTGGAGGGAAAAGAAAGGAAAGGAAAGAAAAGGAAAGAAATAAGAAAACGAATATGTATGATTAAAAGAAATCTGTTACCGCAAAAGTGTCCATGAAGGAAGTTGATGTCTTTCCTTTATATAGTTCTTTCTTGCTTGGTGTTCTTTGGTCTTTTCTTCCTCAAATTTATTAATTGAATTAACCTACATTTAATTACTTAATGCAACTCCTCTTATTCTACAATTTCTTATACTAACGAAGAGGTTGTCAATGAAGGAATTACGTTACAAACCAACATAGAAGGCGAAATGTGAAAAGGTTGATACTCTAAATAATAATTAATAAAGTGCCGCTGAATTTATTCATTTAATAGAAAGATTTTTTTAGTGAAAGACAAAATGGTCGTTCAATTTTTTTAATGGGAAATTTAGCAATTCAACCTTAGCATTTGGATGGTCCTACTTTTATTATAATGATGATGATTATTAGAGTAGCTACAGTTCAGTTCTTGAATCTTGAGGGAAAAAAAATATTGCATGCTTGGAACTAAATTATTGTACCAATTAGAGGAGGTAATAATTGTGGCTTACTTTGGCTTAGACTGAATTCAAGAAAATTAAATTTTGTGAAGATATTTAATGTTCTTAGCCTAAAATTGACATACAATAATTAAGTAGAGTTCTAAAATCAAACAGATATTTGCGTTTTCTCCTAAATATATCAAAGGACTTATTAGTAGTTAAATTAGAGATCATGTAAAATTTTCATAAGGAACAACTTCCCTAATAAGCAGCTTTTTAGATAATAAAGGAAATTGACTACTCAATCACAAGAAAGTAAAATTTCCATTTTCTTAGATAAGCACTTGAAATTCCATCATTGTGCTTCAATTGGTTACCTCAATATTTATGGATTCTTACATCATCATCATCTATATGCATAACATATATAATGATGACAAACACGCAGGCAGTTGATAACTGGAATAATAAAGCTCGCAACTCTTCTCCTTAAATTCGTTTCTGTTTTATCTACACAATGATTTATAATGAGTAGCAAACATTTTCATTAAGAAAATTAAAGAAAGATAATGGCAGGAAATGACTTTAACACTATTCTATCTGCCAAATCTAGGAAGACCATCAAACTCATACAATAAGTGCTAGAAATTTCGTTAACACCCCTTTATTAAGCGCAAAAAAATTGCTACTTTATACCTTTCAGATATTCTTCAAACAATTGTTGTAGAAAGCTTCCCAAATCCCAAGCATAAACATAAAGATTATTTTGAGAGCTATCTTTTTTTTTTACCAACACGACCTGAAAATGGGTCCAGCATAAAGAAGTTAGAAGGCAAAATTGTAGATACTATTAAAGAAAAGGAACATAATTAACAAAACTTCATACATTCCTCATCATTCTGAAGCATACACCATAGCGATCTGCAAGATCCATACACCTAGATTATTCAGCCAATACAGCAACAATTGCACATCAAATCAGCAACATATATGCTTACCAACTGAGTTGAAAAGAGAAGTAATATATAATGCAAATACTTACCAACTAACGCAAGCATCATAAGGGACCAAGATTCATGCAATAGAAACATGATGAAGACATAAATGTTTTGCCTTTAATAGCAATCGAAAGGTTCCAAGGCAAACAAATCATACCGAGAAGACTAACCGTCTGGAATATGCTACAACTGAAGCGTCCAAATGTTTGGCGTGTTAAGGCATCAAATTAATTGATTCATTGTACCGAATTAACATGAATTTATTACAGCTTTAGATAAGTATTTATCATTTTATTGGATTGTATATTTTTACCTTTTTGTACATAAATTCAATAGAATAGTGTTTGATTGTAAGGGCAAAATTGTCACTCAACCTTTCATGGGTAGATTTGTAAATCAGCTTTTGACGTAAATTGTTCCCACTTTTAGTATTATATATATATATATATATATATATATATATATATATATATATATATATATATATATATATATATATATATATATATAT